GATCGTCTCTTGAAGTATCAAAATGTGGTTATTTTCAGACACCTTACTGCCGAAGAATACAGCAACATGTATTTATCATTTACTGGTTTGTTTACAGCAGGGCTGTCCAACCTGCGGCCCCCCAGATGTTGCTGAACTACAACTCCCATGATTTCCTGGCTATCTGTTTCATTGAAAGAATCATGGGAGTTGTAGTTCAGCAACATCTGGGGGGGGCGCAGGTTGGACAGGCCTGGTTTACAGAAACATAGAATCTTTACAGAAAGATAAAACAGAAATATACATACTTAGTTCTATACGTGACGCTGTAGTAGATGACAGAAGTATTGGTATTGAGTTCTTCCCACATAAGGATATGGCGGAAATTTTCAGAAAACAATTGAACGTTGAATGGCGGTAGCAAGGCAGATGAAGCTATTAAAATAAAAAAATTTAAAATACAGTAAGTTGTTTTTTACTCCCAAAATTCACGGGTTACAATCATTAAATAATAAAGACATCTAGAAGATGGTGTGACTTAAAGCGGCCCCAGCGAGGTATCGTCTGAATTCAAATATTCCCTAGACCTGGTAGGGTATTCCAGCCTGCACCCAACGTTGCTGTGATTCTTATTTTTATTTTTTGTGTGTGGGACCTTTGGCTTACCTAACTGGGGGGAGAGGGGGTCTTGGGGTCTTCTTTCACCTTCAGCTACTCTTCTGTAGTTCATATAGCCTGTTTATTTTACGTTATATTTACCTTGCACTGTGTTCCTCTACTATCACTGACCCTATAGTGCTAAAACCACCATATAGCCCCCCTGGGCCCCTCATGCCTCCCTAAAAATAGCTAAATCTTACTTGTATTCAGCGTCCACCCTAACCATACTTTTTCCCTCCCTCCCCTCAGCTCCCTTCCCCCCCCGCACTCTCGCTCACTCACCCTGAGAGGACCTCTCACACCATGAAAAAGTTATATGAGACAATAGAAGCCGACAGACACAGAAACGGAATAGCGACAAAAAGGTCACAAGACAAAAAAGCGACACGGACCACCCCAAAAACACTAGCATTAAATGTGACCAAGCGAAAAACAGGGAAGCTAGAAGGAGCTACGCGCCCATGAGGGACTAGCCCCCCACAATAGACCAGTATTGATAACCGACAGAAAGCAAGAAGTCACGCAATCAAACGCGGACACAGTAAGGCTAAAAGACATGACCGAACCTAATGCGGAACAAAGAGAGTAACATGACACATACTATATAGGACAAAGGACAGGACCACGGACCAAACGGGACTCAACACAGACACAGATTACAGAAAAAGGGAAGGAAGGGCAGAAGCAAGGTACACACACCATTTCCCCTCTGTGTAATCCACAGATCTCCATAACCCCTCTCCGACCTACCAAGCAAACTACAATTGCATGAGTACCCAATGTACAAACTAATACTACATGGGACCTACAAGTCCATTCACATTCTGGGTTTGATACGACTCGCTTATCAAAAACGCATTTAGCGCATTTCCTATGATTGATAATTGTACATGTTACGCAATTGTTACTGTATTTTGTATTACCGTATTTTTCGCTCCATAAGACGCACTTTTTTTCCCCTCAAAAGTGAGGGGAAATGTCTGTGCGTCTTATGGAGCGAATGTGAAGAATTACTTACCTGTCTTGGAGCGTGGGCCGGCTTCACAGCGCGCTCCGCGGTCCAGGAACTTCTATTTCAGGTTCCGGTTTCCGGCGGGACTGAAAGGAAGTGTGCACACTGAGTGTGCACACTTCCTTTCAGTCCCGCCGGAAACCGGAACCTGAAATATTAGTTCCTGGACCGCGGAGCGCGTTGTGAAGCCGGCCCACGCTCCAAGACAGGTAAGTAATTATGGGACAATGGGAGGGGAGACACTATGGGACGAGGGGAGGGGGACACTATGGGTTAAGGGGAGGGGGACACACTATGGGAGAAAGGGAGGGGGAGACACTATGGGAGAAGGGGAGAAGGACACTATGGGAGAAGGGGAGGAGGACACTATGGGAGAAGGGGAGGAGGACACTATGGGAGAAGGGGTGGGGGACACTATGGGTCAAGGGGAGGGGGACACTATGGGAGAAAGGGAGGGGGACACTATGGGAGAAAGGGAGGGGGAGACACTATGGGAGAAAGGGAGGGGGAGACACTATGGGAGAAGGGGAGGGGGAGACACTATGGGAGAAGGGGAGGAGGACACTATGGGAGAAGGGGAGGAGGACACTATGGGAGAAAGGGAGGGGGAGACACTATGGGAGAAGGGGAGGGGGAGACACTATGGGAGAAGGGGAGGGGGAGACACTATGGGAGAAGGGGAGGGGGACACTATGGGAGGGAAAGTTCACTATGGAACAATGGGAGGGGGGGACCCTATGGGATCAGAACACTAATGGACAAGGGTAGGAGGGGTTAAAGAACACTATGGGACAGGGAGGAGGGGTTAACAATCACTATGGGACAGAGGAAAGGGGGGTTAAAGATCATTATGGGACAGGGGAGAAAAAAAATATTCTGAACAAACTGTCCCATGGTAAGAAACACTATGGAACAGTTTGTTCAGAATATTTTTTTTTCTGGGTTTCCTCCTCTAAAAACTAGGTGCGTCTTATGGTGAGGTGCGTCTTATGGAGCGAAAAATACGGTATATACGCCAATAGATACCTGCGTGTATCACTGTTCCCTATTTCCTTTATTTGCAAAACAAATAAAAATCTCATTTACAAAAAAAAAAAATCTTACTTGTATTCAAACCTGAAGCTGCAACTCTGCATGCTGTTTGACTCAGAATAGCAACCTGTCTGTTGACATGATCAGAAGTGGTAGCCTGATCCAATCACAATGCTTCCCCATAGGATTGGCCGAGGCTGAAAAGGAGGCAGATTAGGGGCAGAGCCAGCACAATCCAAACACAGCCCAGGCCAATCAGCATTTCCTCATAGAGATGAATTGAATCAATTAATCTGTGTGAGGAAAGTTCAGTGTCTGCATGCAGAGGGAGGAGATACTAAATGTTTGGATGCATTTTAGGCAGCTATGACCCAGGAAGCAGGGCCGGACTGGGAGAAAAATTCGGCCCGGGCATTTTTTTAACACAGCGGCCCACTAAAAAGGGGGCGGGGCAGAGGAGGTGTGTTTTGTCATCACCAATGACAAACACGCCCTTCTCTCAAAGTGAGCATGTTGGTTCAATGCTCTTCCAGGGCAGACCATGCACAGAGCTCTGCTGAAGAGCTCTAGCATGAGAAAAAAGTCCTGTATTTGTTCTGCACAGTGCAAGCAAATTTAATAACATGCTTGCACTGTGTTTCCTTGCAACTTGTCTCTGGTGTCTCTATAAATGGATACCAGGAGACAAAAGGCCAGGACAGAGTATTGTGCATGTGTTTGGAGCCTACTTGTGGTATTGCGTGTGTGTAGAGTGAGCTGGTCGTGGTGTGGTATTGTGTAATAAGGTCGGTTTTAGTCGTGTTGTGTTTGTGGTGTAATGTGATGCATATGTGGCTCAGGAACCCCCTCCCACACGGCTCTGGAAAGGGGTTAAAACTTACCTTTTCCAGCGCCGGGCGGGGAGCTCTCCTCCTCCGATCCGCCCCGTCGGCTGAATGCGCACACGCGGCAAGAGCTGCGCGCGCATTCAGCCGGTCGCATAGGAAAGCATTTATAATGCTTTCCTATGGACGCTTGCGTGCTCTCACTGCGATTTTCACAGTGAAAAGCACGCAAGCGCCTCTAGCGGCTGTCAATGAGACAGCTGCTAGAGGCTTTGGGGGAAGGCTTAACCCATTGATAAACATAGCAGTTTCTCTGAAACTGCTATGTTTATAAAACAATGGGTTAAACCTAGAAGGACCTGGCACCAAGACCACTTCATTAAGCTGAAGTGGTCTGGGTGGCTAGAGTGGTCCTTTAAGAGTGTAGTGTGTGCGTGTATACATATATATATATATATATATATATATATATATATATTTGGAAGTATTGTGTATGTGTGTGGTGCAGTGTGTTGGGGGGGTTCTGTGTGTATGTGAGGGGTGCAGTATGTGTGTGTGTGAGGGGTGCGGTGTGTGTGTGAGAGTGCGGTGTGTGTGAGAGTGCGGTGTGTGTGTGTGATGTGTGTGAGAGTGCCGTGTGTGAGTGATGGGTGTGAGAGTGCCGTGTGTGAGTGATGGGTGTGTGAGTGCTGTGTGAGATGGGTGTGAGAGAGTGCTCTGTGAGAGTGCTGTGAGAGAGTGCTGTGTGTGTGTGAAAGTGCTGTGTGTGATGGGTGTGAGAGTGCTGTGTGTAATGTGTGTGAGAGTGCTGTGTGTGATGGGTGAGAGTGCTGTGTGAGAGTGCTGTGGGAGAGAGTGCTGTGTGTGATGGGTGTGAGAGTGCTGTGGGAGAGAGTGCTGTGTGTGATGGGTGTGAGAGTGCTGTGTGTGATGGGTGTGAGAGTGCTGTGGGAGAGAGTGCTGTGTGTGATGGGTGTGAGAGTGCTGTGGGAGAGAGTGCTGTGTGTGATGGGTGTGAGAGTGCTGTGGGAGAAAGTGCTGTGTGTGATGGGTGTGAGAGTGCTGTGGGAGAGAGTGCTGTGTGTGATGGGTGTGAGAGTGCTGTATAAATGTTATTGTGTGTGTGTGTAGGGGGGGTAAATAAAAAAAATAAAAAGTCATTATTTCCCCCCCTCCCTTCTTACCTTTAGCCTGGGAGGGGGGGTCCGGCACGCTGGAAGGCGGGGTGGCGGGGTTCCCTGGTGGTCCTCGTGGGTGAGTGAACTCTAGCCTGTGAGGCTAGAGTTCACTCTCGCGAGATCCGGTCGTTGCCATGGCAACGCGCCGGATCTCGCGAGAGGAACCCGGCGGAGCTGCAAGTTAGAGCTCCGCCGGGTCCTCTCTCCAGCCTGGCTGGCTGTCTCCCTCCCTCCGTCCCCGCCGGCGGCCGCATGTGGGCCGGTCAGGGAGATCCTTGATCTCCCCACCGGCCCGTCGTGACAAACAGCGGGGCCGGCGCTAGGAGAGTGCCGGCCCTGCTTAGACCGGCAGGGGAGATCCTGTGATCTCCCCTGCCGGCCTCGGCCCATGGCCACCGCGGCCCACCGGGCATTTGCCCGGTGTGCCCGATGGCCAGTCCGGGCCTGCCAGGAAGGATCTCTAACAGCCATCTGAGGAGTGGCCAGTGAAGTTATCACTAGGCTGTAATGTAAACACAGCATTTTCTCTGAAAAGACAGTATTTACAGCAAAAAACCTGAAGGGAATGATTCTACTCGCCAGAACAAAATCAATAAGCTGTAGTTGTTCTGGTGACTATAGTGTCCCTTTAATGTAAAAAAAAAAAGTGCAGATTTCATTGTACACTTAATTTTTGGACATATCAATTCAATGCTGACTTCACAGTGTATACTATGTCATCTCTTTCTAACATGCATTTCAAAAATAAAGAATTAAAAAATGAAATAAAAAAATAATTAGCATTTAGAACTTTGTTAAGTGCCAGATCACACAGAGCTCTCAGCGTTTGCTACCAGTCAGCGCGACTGCTAGGCTGCGCCCCCATTAAACCCATTTAAATACTCCAATAGTTTTTACTAAGGCGAAGGAACAAGGAAATAACACTTTTCTCGGAATCACAGCTCCAGTTTAAACGGATACTCCAAGAACCATAACCACTGCAGTCAGCCTCCAGATGAGCTGCGCTCTGAATCATGCAGGGAAACTTGCCGTGTGAATGCCAACTCAATTGTCAACACAATTTCTGCAGATAGAATAGGCTGACATGCATTTTGTGTAAGTTGAATGCTTGGATGAAGGTTGAATAAAAAAAGAGCACTTTAGTGACATTATGTAGAAAGCATGAAATTTAGATACTGCATACAAAAAGAAAAAGACAAGAATGTGAAAGGAAAGTTTTCAGGGACAGCTTACTAATACCATCAGGTCTGGTGCAAGGATTTCTGAGACCACTTCCTTTCAGTCTGGCCGGGTACAGGAAACACAAGCTCCTGTATCACGGTCCACGCCGCCCAGCCATGCTACACAGAGTGTCGGACAGGAGGGAGCGTTGTGCACTTCCCTCCTGCCGGGTCACTCAAAACTTGCCATAGGTGGCTGCCTAAGTTGCCTATAGGACGTGCCGGCCCTGAATACCATAACCTTTGCTTTGCAGCATAGAACATACCTCCCATCTTTCCCAATTTAGCAGGGACAGTCCCTATGTCCATACCCAAATCCCTCTATTCCTTTTTTTTTTAAAGTTCCTATTAGTGGTACTTTGATCAACTCTTTCTAGCCACCTCATGTGTGTCCTATTAAGGGTTAATAAGTGTGAAAAGGTTCATAAGAATACCCCTTTATGTCTCTGAAAGCTGAAATAGTTAACTTTCCTTGTTCATATGTATTTTATGCTTAGATAAGGTTTATAATCATTAGTACTGACTGTAAGGATATGAAATAGTTAAACTCTTTCTTGCTTTAAAATAATGTTTGAAATAATTATGCTGACTTTGGCAGATGTATTTTGTACCAAGGTCTTTCGTCTACAGGATGTATGACCTTCCTTGACCTTAGGATGTTCCTGTCTCGTCTTTATCCAAATGCTTATCTTTTTCATGTCCGACAAGTATGTACTATTAACTACAAGGACACTATAGATCTCACTGCTTGCATGACAAACTGTGTATAAATGCTAGCCCTGAAAATATACTCATTGAGAACTTGTTAAGCACTCTTTCGTATCTGTATGTCTTAATTTGCTAACAAGAACTCCCATCAATTGATGTGGTGACCGGAGGATCGAGAATCGAGGGGAGTTGAGTCCAGAACAGCATTAACCCTTTCAGCTTGGTGTTAGAAGTGGGATACAGCAGGGCCATTTGCGGTGAGTAGCCTTTTTGTGTCTTATTGACGCTAATTGTCTATGACCCCCTTTGGTTCAGTAAGTCTGTATCCAGTAGAAAGGAAAGGTGTAAGGACTTTAGTTATATTGAGACTGTAAAGAGGTCTCCGGTTTATTATAGGGTTTTGGTAACCCAGGTTAGTATCTAAGATAGATACAGGGTATCTCAGGTAGATACAGGTTTTGAGACCATAAGAGGTCTCCGGTTTATTAAGACTATAGGTGTTCTGAGGAGCAAGGTTTATAGATCTATAAGTATACCCCAAACTTATCTTTCTCCTGGTCACCTTTGTTTGTCTTAAGTGTTCTTTGTGGGTTATTGTCTGTATTGGGGACACACTTTGGTAAGTTAGTAGTGTGTCTGCCCTGAGTCAGCAGTATGGGAAATGTAAGTCCAGGTCCTGAGTGACCAATATATATACATATATATATATAAAAGATACCAGTACTGTATATTAGAAAAGAACTGACTCACAGGTCGTACCTGATAGACCTACTTAAATTTTTTCCTTTATTCTTTATGTCGCATAGAAGTATAGTTTATTACTCTGTTTTATTGTAAGTTATTTCACATGGGATCTGTGTGCCTGGTATGATTGTTACTTTAATACCATAAGCCCACTACACTTTCTATGAGAGTGGGATAGTGTAAATGTGTTACATTGTTTGCATGATGAGCTCAGTATTTTTATAACTGAGACAAAAGTCACTTCATTAGTATTTGAAAGTTAATTCCCCATATGGGATTAATTGTATAGAACACCAATCAGCACATCTTCCCTGCCCTGTGTGTTTGTTGCAAAGGATCCATACTGTAAATATGATTTTTGTTTATAAATAAGAGAGCAACATTTACATTTT